TTTTTTTAATGAAGCGAGCCAGTTTCTTTGACCAGGCGCTTGTCACCTTCACTGTATCTCATGCTTTTCTAAGTTTGAAGTAATGATTCAGAACACTGCAAAAATTGCAAGAGTGGAAAGTTTGTCTCGAAACCGAAAGGCATAAAAATAAATGGTTAAAAATGTAATCTGAACACGAGCAGCCGTGATAAGTCAAAAGGCTTGAAAAAGCAACTTGACCACGGAGACCCTACCGCCTGCGTCATCATGTTTCAGCTCGCCAAAGAAGCATACCTGGCCGGAAACTTTAAACAGAATGTTTTTTTGCAATTTTCATTCTTTCGACTTTTAAAAGTTATTGCTGTTGTTGCACTTGAAGAACCGGGTGAGAGTTTTTTTTAAACAGAAATCGTTCATATTCATCTGAGATGTCCTCGGCAGAAAAGTTTGTGGCTCGCCGGACAGAGGATGGAGATACTTAAAAAAATGAACTGCCTCCCTTTTTTCTTAACATGCCATAAATATTCTCGAAAATGCACTCCATATGCTAAGAGGTCCACATGCAACATACCTCATCTCCTGAGATCGGGTTATCGCATCACTTCCAGTACTTTCCAGTACTGTCAGAACTGTGTACTTTCGTAATAAAATTATCAAGGTAAGACTATTAGTAACTTATTTGTTGAACTTTGTCCATTAGTTGTAGACCTAGGACATCCATCTCATTGCCCCTTAAAGAAAAATTTCAGTTCTTTCATTAATTGTTCATCTTTAATTCACCAAAAATACACATTCTTGTGTTATGTCGAGTCCATAACCGAGTGAAACAATTGAAACCCGGATAACCCGTCGACTGAGAATTTCCCTTCGGCGCTTGCCAAATTCTGCTCTTCTTTTCTGATACTATTAAAAAAAATTTAGCGCTAGGGATTTATGGGAAGGCTTTTTCTGCAAACTGTATTTCGAGACGAGCACGAACACATGGCAGTAGTTTGTGAAGAACGATTTGGCGTAGGATCATTAGGGATGGATTGGTTTCCTTGATGACCTCGCATTCATGCAATCTCCGCTTTTCTTTTTTCATCTTCCCCTCCCCCAGTTCTACGTAGGGATGAAATGACCGGATGACCCCCCTCTCTCTTTTTCTTCTATGACCCTTCTCCTAATGGTCTCTTCCTCTTCCTCCTTTTTGGAAGGAGTAGGAGGCAACATCATCACCAAGTTCTCGCCACTCACAAATTGCTGACTTCTACTCTCTAATTCGCTCCACGATTTGGACTCTTTTGCTTATGGTTCGGTGGCGTATTTTGGCTGAAGAGTCATGGGTGCAGGGCAGCAGAGCGGGGCGTCAAACCCCACCCGAGCGAAATCGAGGGAGAAAAATATTGCATTCATGGGGGCGCCAAGCTCTGTCCCAGGGGGGCGGTCGCCCCTCCTGCCCCCTCGTAAAATACGCCAATCTTATGGTTGCAAGTATACTTAGTCGCAGGAGCATCCTCTCCTGCCATTTTTCTTGCAGTTGCCGTAGTTGCAGCCTATTCTGTAAGGCCACCAAACGAATTTTGAAGATCGACGGCACTTTCGAAAACCAATTAACCCTATGCGCTGGAGAGTCTCGTTGAAAATAGGCAAGGATTTTATCTAACGTAATCTGTCCTTAGACGTAGGAGCACTGCAGAAAGTAGGAAGAAGGGAGGGGGTAAATGATGATGGACGAAGGGAAGGAAAATCGCAGCCAACCCACTTCCCATCCTATTCGCCCACCTCGTTTCCATTGGCATCCGACCAAGAACGACACAAGGACAACGAAGTCCTTTTCTTGGACAGGCCAAGGGAGGAAATGCCTTATCGTGCTCATAAATCTGCATTATTTACATTTCGTCAATGACTTCGCTTACGTAAAACAGTATCACTAAAACAAGGAAGTGGTACAAATGCTATGGAAAAAAGTAACATTTTCGAATACAGTACTCAAGAGTTCGATTTGAAGTCAAGAGGAGGGAACAGATTACTCTCCGAGTCAAATGACGTGCATCACATGGTAAATATCACAGTTAATGGGGAATATACTAATTTGGACAGGCATTAAAAACCAATGATACAGTAAAAGAGAAAATTCTTAATTCTTAAACCTAAGACAAAAAATGTGTCTACTGCATAGTGTCCGCTCATCTTGTGTTTGGAGCTGTTCCATATGTACATCATCCCAATTTGCCTATTATCGAAAAGAACGTTTTGTCCGAGAGTTTGTAAATTCCACAGATTTTGGGTTCAATGCTCATCGTTGCATGTTTTTCTTTCGTTTTTTGTTTATAGTTTTTTTCTGAGTGACTTGAGACTCTCACAAAAAAGGGCTGAGACTTGTACTTGGATGGAGTCCACGGCAAAGAGCGAGAAAGCTACTGTAAGAAAATAATAATACATTTTATATTCGCTGGTCGGCAATTTTAAGATTTTTTCGCCCTTGACCTTTTTGAGACCAAAATTCGCGTTCACGCCTGCTTCCCCCTCGCCTGCTCTCATGCTGACCACAGCGTCACTAAAGAAGGAAGACTGCCTTGAAAGTTGAGGGAATTAATTCTCTGAAACATCGTCAGTCGTCCTTGGACTCCCAACTTTTCATTGAGTTTTGATTATCCGTTCATGAGGTGGCAGGAAGGGTTGTAGAGCGGGTGACGTCAGACGAGGAGGGTCTCATTTAACCGTTCTCCCGCGAACGTGATAGAGGTGCACGGATCCACGAATCGGGAATGACCATCACGTGACTATCGATACGACATCACATGATTCACTTGAGTCAGTTCACACTTGGTGCGGGCACAGTTGACCTGCGTCTGCTGTAGCTGGTTTCTAATTTAATCACACTGCGAAAGATGAGCTTTACGAATTTAAAAACAACCCCTAATAGCTTGTGACGTCACGCTAGTCTTTTATTTCCATCGATATGACTAACAAAGGGATTTCTCTGTTGTCTTAACTCAGCTATGCTGCACCTTGAAATTCCCTATGAAAACCAACTTCATTGCTGTAACTTTTAGCAGGAAAAAATTTAGACTGGGCGAAATGGGTTTTAAAGGGTTTGGTATCGCAGACAATATGTCGATCGATGTCACCATATCGCCGATCTTTTATGTCAGGATTGGAATCGCGAATGATAAAATCTCAAGGGTACAAATGGAAATCGCATTGCTACTGAGTGCACACGCAGCATATTGTTTTTCGCTTCTGATTAGGACATGACCTTGAGAGTTTTCATTGTATGGTCTTATTCATTTCCCAAGAAAAAGGCCGGGGGGGATGGGCCTCAGGGGAAATCACACGGCGATGCCACCGAGGTACGATGATACCTGCCCCATTTCCGCCGGCTCTCTGTTATACAAGCTTGACATGAGAAGCCGGGAAGAGTTCCAGAGAATGATGCTCCATTTGCTTCTTATGCTCCGTAGCTCTAATGGTGGAGAGGTGACACTTAAACGAAAGCTTCCTCCACTTAGGCTTTCCTTCATCGAGACTCTTTACGCAGGTCAAGTAATTTTGGGAGCGGCATATGGCGATGAAAGCCTCCTCGTGTAACTTCCTACGTCAATAAAGGACCTTTTCCTTCTGCAGTCAACCTTGTATGCATACCGAAGTAATCGGGAGAGGGGCAGCATGAAACTGGAAAACGATATCACAACATACAAATATATTGCCGATATGAACAAAATCGAAACATATCGCGACATAGCGATAATCGGAATCGCTTCGGTGAAAACTCACGAAATTTGGACATTGGGAGATTCGCAGGCTTACCAGTTTGCACCGGAGATGTACATTGCTGAGTCGAAGATTCTATTAGCTTGGACGACGTATGTACACCATCTGTGTTGAGATCTGTGGAAGTCGCTCACCTACGGTACAGATCTGAAACATAGATCCAAAATGTCTGTCGAAAAATAGACTTGAACGCTTAATAATCCTCTCTCATCCCTATCCTCAAAAATGGGCAACCGAATCTCCGTCACTCGTGACTGGAAAGTCCAGCAAGGGCATGGGGATCGGGGATGGGAAAGAGCACCAGAGAAAAATAGTTCAGCCACGAAGTTAAAAAATAAGTGCTTGAGCAATGACTTTGGCTATGTTTTGTTTCTTGGAGTCGCAGGATCCTTATATGCCTGTATATCGAACCGCGAATATTGCGAAATTAAACCCAAATGAAAAAGAATAAATTTAGGTTAGGTAAGAGTAATTTAAATTCAGTATGAGAAGGAATCTCGCATCGATTGATTAGAATATACAATATAGCCACAATGAAATGAAATAGCTGCATGTTTTTCAACTGGATGCTGAGAACCTTGACTTTCATACAAGAGGTATTAATAAAGTTCGTGGACTTATTTGAATTGACGTCATAGTATAAACGAAATCAACTTTATCCTACTGGGATTTTCTGAACAAACTGCCATTTTAGCACGACACTTTTCCCATATTTTCATCCATTCCTCATATCCCTCTTTGAACCATTCTTCTGGTAGGCCCTTGAACCATTTGATGACTGCGTTTCCAAGTCTACTCTTTCACCATATCGAATTCCATGAAGGCGATTTTTCCATTAGGAAAACAAAGAAATCTCTGGGGGTCAATTCTGATGAATGAGGAGGGTATGCAAAACGTCATGTCCTCATTCATTAATCACGTTGATGGAGTTGTGAGCTGTATGTGTAAGTGATGTCTTGCTTCGAATGAATGTTTAACCCATCAGCCCATCTTCATCTTTCCATCGATCAAAACTCCACGTCTTGGCTACCGTACGACTATGAAGCTACGTGCATTTTTTTACAAACCCAAAGACTCTCCTTGGCTTCTCGCAATCCGTTTCTCGGCGTATCATTCCATTACATTGGGAAAAGGGCTCACGTTGACTGGCACAATGAATTTATACATCATATACTGAAGCTACAGCAACAGCATATATATATAACAGGTAGCAACAAATACAATTATAACCTCGAGAAGAAAGATAGCAAGCAGGAGCAATAATAATGCGCAGTAATTTTTACTAAATACGATCCGCAGGCGTGGAATATCGTTAGTTCTAAGGCAGCCATTATGTGCTCTGCAGAGCGAAGTTTGGATAACTTGCCATTTCACTTCACACGTACGGCGCTTTTAGGCATGAGATTTGGGGAAGACGAATGCAGCAGGCAACAGGTGTTAATGGATCGTCATCTTTTGCAATTAATGACACGCTCTTCGAAAGCGTAATCTCATCGTCGATCCAGAAAGTAATAGTGCCAAATAGTAATCAGGTAGCTATGAAAGTTCTGCTGCATGTTAAAAAATGGACCCTGTTTCCAGTTTTCACACCACGTGAAACAAAGGAAAAACCTTGTGTCAATGATGTAGTAACCTCGACTTTGTGTACATCGTAATCCGCCTCGATTTTCCGTTGAACCCTCTAGTGGTTGCTGGAAATTACCGCATTCCTGAATGGAAATTGTTTTGTGTTGTTGAATGTAGATGAGGCGGAGGATGGAAGAGAGTGACGGAAGTGAGAATTCCTGGAGCCCTCCAGTTCCACCTCCACCTCCACCCCCACATCCACATTCATCTGTACCTTCATCGTCCACGTCCGCTTTCAATCAAAGGAGTTTGACGATGCGGGAATATTGCCCAAGTCACGGCCCTGTGGTGACGAAGAGATTCCCCTTGCCCATCTTGCAGAGAGCAAATAGCACTCAGAGTGCACAGAGTGCCACCACCGTCAGCACGTATGCGACAACCAGCACTTGGGTCAAACCCCAAGCCTCTGGTGAGCCTTCATTTCTTTATCATGCTTATCTACCAATAAATAACCTCATCTGATTGCTGTTGGCCTATTGTTCAGTCCAATGATCAATTTGCAATGAATGAACTGTATGATTTCAAGGCCCCTGAAGCATTATCTATGGTTTATATGCAATACCTAGGATTGATTTTCTGAATAATTTTCCAAATGATACTCCATCGAAAGCCACAGGCGAGAAGAAGGAAAAACAAGTTATAAAGCCCACTTCAGTTGCAGGTTTCCTTTTTGTGTGCCGTCATAGATGATACATGCGAAAGGCGTGGGATACGAGTAATAAACGGGATATGAGCATAGAAGAGAACGCCTCCAGAGGAGGGAGGGAGGGGAGTAAAGAGCTGTGCAGGAAATTGGATATTCGCGAATATCTACGGATGAGAATGAAATGTAGTTATCGGATAACAATGAACAAAATAATGACTTTTTTGCAAACTGAAGCACATTTTATATATAGTCGTTCAGGAGATGCACTTTGAAGTCTATAACAAAATTTAATTAACTAATTTCGACAAGTGAGGCACTGATGGACTTCCTCTCTAATGGAATCCTTGTAGGAACTCAAGTACTGCTCTCCCAGTACTGGCAGAGCCGAAAAGTACTTTCAAAGAAGCACTGACTTTCAAGTATAGATCCTCCTCAAGTTCTCGTCTTTACTTGCAACAAGGTGATGGCGTATTTACATCATGTACTGGTCACTTGTATTGCAACACCTTATTATGGCATCTTCATCAATCAACAGAGAATTTGGCTTCCCTATTTGTCTTAGTGCTTTCCTGAGTGGAGCATTCCTTATGCTTTCTGCAGCATAAATCTTGGCAACGGGGGAAGCCTCGGCAAACCATTATGCAGATAGTTATATGTCCGTCTTTCATCTTTCAACATCTTTCGGGAACTGAGATGTGCATGAACCTGCATATCACCACAGAAATGAAGATCAGGACACCTTGCCTGGCAGCAACCTCACTCAAAAGAAGACTTACAGTTTCGTCGGCCTGTGCCATGTTCACCGTTAGTGGATGTCTTACTTTCACCGAGCTCTTCAAGAAATGAAGAAGCTCAGTGCAAGTGACACGATCAAAGTAGCCGACTGGGATCACGAACGTAATTATTACCTTATCGATGATGTGACGTTCCTAGTTCCTTGTGATAGCGAGCACTCTCGTGGACACAAATTAAAAAAATTCTACTGTGAAAAACACGGAGATGAGAGAACTTCCGGAGATGTAAGAAAGTGTAGGTCTTGAGAAAAGCGGCGACCGAAATTACGACCTATATCATGCATCATGACTGAAGCTACAAGATCTGACTCGGTGAGAAACGAGTCTGTCATTTCTTTGAGAGGGTTCCAGATTCGACAAAGCCCTTCAAGGCATGAGGCAACCATACTTAATTACCAACCCGAGAGGGGAGCTGAACGACTTGAATTCCATCTCTTCCTCGATTGGCAGACTGCAATTTTAACTCTATTTCTTCCACAATTCCTTCCGTATGATGAAATGAAAAAAGAAGAAAGGTGGTTTTTTGGTGAAGGTCAATCACTTAATTTCTTTCTTTATTCTCAATTTTTCTGCTTAGCCAACACACCTCTTTTACCATTGATGCAGACATAGCTTCTTTTTTTTAAGGCACTAGTCATAGTTTTATGCTTCTAATTTTTCTTTTTTACAGGGAAGGGAAGGAAGCAGAAATCAGGGATTGGAAAGGGAGGCGGAATAGACGATTGGGAAGGAGAGAGCGAAGTGGAAGGGTTGAGAATACTCAATGAGAGGGAGATGAACTCCCTGAATCAGAGGATCCCTGGCCTCCGGAGACAGGATGTTAAAACGCACACGATTCGCCAGCATTTTTATCCTGAAGGCGGTTGGGGATGGGTTATCTGCGCCTGTGCATGCTCAATTCATGCCCTCACTTCTGGTCTCCAACTCTCCTTTGGAGTCTTTCATCTCGAGATGATTCGACATTTCGGGCAGGAAGATACCTGGGATGCTAGTCAGTCACTTCCTATCGCTTTTTCCCTAAAAATCATAGCAATTTTACATCCAGTCTCATTCAGCTATGTGACGTATGCCACATAGCTGAGTTGTAACTTACGAGGTATGATCGTGAGTGTTTCCTGAGAAAGTTTTCTGGCCAAAGTGAGGTCATTAATGATTCACTTACTTAAATCTTACTTACCTTGATTTGCATTAATTCTTTGTCAATTTGCACAATATAGGATTTAATTTTAATCTTTGAACATTACTTCCTTTATCAGAGGAAAATTAAAAACCCTTTTTCCGATGTGGTGGTGTGAATGGCGTTTTGATGAATTGCAGTGTGGGTCGGTTCCGTGAGTCTATCGACGAGTCATGCGACAACTCCATTCGTAGTTGCCCTCTGTCGAAGGAAATCTACTCGATTATCAGCTGTGATTGGTGGCCTGGTCATGGCCCTTGCCTGTCTCTTCACCTCCTTCGCTCAGAAGTTTCACCAGTTATACTTCAGGTCTGCACCTTACATCATGTCTCGCTAATTACCGCGCTCTACGGAATAGGGTAGCCCGTATAAAGTCCTAATTTGTGACCTTTGCGCAAAGAATTGAAGTTGAAGCGTTGATGTTTCCCATTACAGCTATGGGTTGATGTTGGGGATCGGGATCGGTTTCGCTCGAGAAACTGCCAATTTGATGATTGGTCAGTATTTCAAGAGAAGGCGAGAGTTTGCGGAAGTGATTGTACAGTCTGGAACTGGGATCGGATTGGCGGCTTTTCCCTCCTTCTTCCAGGGAGCCCTCAGGTTCGACGGTTTCTCCTTTCACTGTCATTACACAAAGAACAAATCACATCTCGCATGCGGATGTGGTTCTTGCCATGAGGGTATTATTGTAGTGGAATTCGCCACGATTGAAATCTCAAACTAGTATCATCCTTTTCCTGGTTACGTGTTGTTTGACTGCACGTACGCTATAATAATGATATGCGGAGTCTCATATTCAGCTGCTAGCCCTAATTGGAGCCATACTCAACCAAAAGACGACTCTATCTAATTAGCGGGAGTTTCTATGGTCTCAGAGTTAAAAGAGCCTTAATTTTACGCTCAATTCCCACTAGTATCACTTTCAAAGTGAATTGAGATAACAGGATTTCAAGGGAAGCTTTGTGGTTTCACTACGTTAGGCATCCTCTCCTGAGGCTGAAAAGCAAGAGAGAAGCACTGGGGAAGAGAAGAGAAGAGAGAAGGGAGAAGAGAGGGAATGTAGTCAATTTAAGGACGCCATAGTTCCAAAAATCTTCTTCTTTCGCTGCTAATTCGACTGAATTACGGAAATATCAAATCATATGCAATGTACGCGAGTCTAGACTGATATATTGGAAGTTAACTATTGTCTCTGATGGGGTATAAAGGTGTTCTGTCGCTGCAATTTCACGCATGCACTCGCGATCATTCTTCGCCTTCGCAAGAACACTCATGGCGATATTTTTATGTTTTACGAGAAATTTTATGAGGAAAGTTACTTGATGGGACAAGTGCAATTCGGAGTTGGCATTCTCATCATTCTACTCTGACAATTTCTTTAAATTGAAAGAACTCTCTTTCTCCAATGAATAACATTTCTGGAAATATTCCCCCTTGCTATATATATTCTCTTAATTCTGCGACAATGAGGTGTCACAAAATCTGGAGATTTCCAGAAATAGTTCTCAGTGAGTGCAATTGCGTGCCATTGAGTGCATTGAAAGTTGCTTTTGTTGCAATGATTGCAGATTGATATTGTATATATCTTCCCAATCCTGTGGACATCAATAATATGACGAGGAGCAGTAAGGACAGGTGCTGTATGTTAAAGGACTTCCAGTTTACAGATTTTTTCTTAGCACATACTGTATATGCTTTATTCAGAGGATTCTTTCAGAGAATCTTCCAGTGCAATTTTTTGGGGGGTTTTGGCAAAAAAAAAATTCAGTCTTGAAACATCCTCATTCAAAAAAGTGAAAATCATTGGCTGAGATGAGACTACCACCCTTTATTCTCAATGTTTGCCAAATATTGCGTCTTATAGGTATTACAAAGGCTTGATCGATGGGGCTATTGAAGAAATATGCAGAGTAATGAAAAAATAGCTGAACATTTCTATGGTCAACAAGACCTAATGCTTTAGGCGTATTTGTGGAAACATGCCTGAACTGTCATTAATGTATTAATTAATGTCAGGTAAATATTGTTATGGGCTTATTCTTAGAATGAATTAACTGATATCATTGGCTATTGGAAAAAAAAGAAATGCGGTTGAAGTGAAACGCAGCTTCTTCGAAATTGTTACTTCTTTCCTAACGTCTCAGTATTGAGTGGTTTAGGCCAGCGTTTCCCAATCATTTTGACTAAGCAGGAAAAAATTTGCTAGTTCAAAACTCTGCGACTCATAAGGAAAGTTATTGACCAATACAAAAGAATAATACAGGTGGGAAAGCCTCATGCACGACAAACATTGTTTGTGTCCTGGATGATTTTCAACACAAATAAAAAAAAACCACATCGACCTAGGAGTTGGGTCACGGTTGAGAACCGCTGGTTTACACAAATTTCCACACCGTGAACTATTGTTGCATGATAGGAATTTCAGTGACGATTTATATATTGTCGATCAACTGGACATTTTCAGACATTTTCCAATGAAACACGTTGAACAGGATCGCCAGGCAGAAACCCAGGCAGAGCAGAGAAAGTCTGAAAATGTTTGCTTTTTTTCTACTGTGGTGCGGCTTACTGTGTTGTGTGAGATGCTTGCGTAATGCTGAAAATTCCAATGACGCTTTGCTTTCGGACAACCTACTTCGCAAAAATCGAGTTTGAAGCTACCGAAGGTATTGCAATACGAGTGAAGACATGCAGACACACGAATGTACCAGAAGCTAATTCGCTTCTCAGATCGTTTTGTGTCATTATTCACGAACGTCCTGCACTGTAATCGTTATATGAGTTCCATCAGATTTGCAACCCTAAATTAGGATGCTGGGATGATCTTGATGAACAGATTAGATATCCCACTCAATTAATTGCCATCCTGTATTGACTGCATGTTGGCTGCAGGCTGTTGGCTGTTACGCAAACGAAGTACGCGCATAGTTTTCCCGCTCTGTTTATCATGCGGAACATTTTTATTTTACGTACAGAGCATTGGGCTGGAGATTGGGTCTTCAAGCAGCAACAGGAATCCTGTTCCTCAGCTTCATCTTAGGGATCTTCTATCGGCCAGCATCACTTTATCACCCACAGCGTCGGGCTATCATACATTTGAAAATTCAAAAGAGGAATGTGAAAGACAAGAGAAAATCGGCTCAAAAACCCTCCTATTGGGATTTCTCTCTCCTTGGAGCTCGACCTCTTCAAATCCTCCTTCTCTCAAATTTCATCTCCGGATTTGGCATCTACACTCCTCTCTTCCATCTGGTTGGAAAAGCTCCCTCCTTTCTAGAATGCACCAAGTTGTTCCATAGGGTATCCCACGAATATTGGGCACATTTATTTTCCCAATCATTTAAATGAGATTTATGAATCTCAAGCATTCTTTCATTCAGAATACTGATATGTCTTGTTATTTTATTGCAATTACGGTTGAATGTGATTTGGCATCAAGGATGAAGATCGTAGAGCTTTATTTCCAGAATGGATATGTAGTAGAGGCAGAGGAAACATTCAGAAGAGATATCAGAATCTGGGAGTCTCTTGACTGATTTCCAAGGGCTGCGTTGAATAGCTTCACGTAATGCTGCTATTTTTTGTGGTGTACGTACTGATGGGTCTCGATGGTATCTTTTTCTGGTCACAAAACCCTCTGTGCGAAAATTTTCAACTAGTCGTATGGTAACGCTTCTGCTGGGAGCTTCTCTATTCCTTTCTCCTCTGAATGCCCCCTGAGCCTCTATACAGACTCATGCTGAAAACAAAGCACTACAATCCTCGTTCTTGATGCCTAATCCCATTGAGCCTTGCCTGTAATGAAATAGGAAGGACGTTGTATTATGAATGCTATTGGAAAAATACATACGCTCAACATTTGTGGGATACCCTGTATTTATTAAACTGTATAATACCCTGCATGAAAATGTAACTTAAGCTAATGTATGCCTCGATTTGGAGTTGTCTGGAACATAATGTGATCTGCGCATGGTAGGCGAAGAGTGGCGATGAGGAGGCAATACCATCGCATCAATTGGTGCTGCTTCATGTCTTTTGCGGTCTTGCATATGTCATCGGGTGTCTGTTCATCGGGATTCTAGTCATCCAGCGCAGTCACACTTGCCTGGTGTCAAGAAAATTCCTTCATCAGACTCTTCTCTTCGCCGTCGGTTTGTTCTCTTCCTTTGACAACTCCCTCTCAACATCTATGCCCGCATTAATTTCCTCTTTTTTCATCGGCAGGCTTATCGATGGCAGCCATCTGTGGTGTGGAGGGTTACCATGGCTATTCCCTGACCATGTGGGTCTATGGGATATGTCTTGGTGGAGCATCGTATACCAGTCGTATGCTGACTTATGAACAAGTTCGAGCGAAGAAATTCGCTAGAGCCTGGGGTTTCATACAGATCTCTTCTGCACTTCCTCTGCTAATCGGCATTCCCATCACTGGTGAGTTGTGCTAGAGGTTATGGTTGCACGTTAAGCATCATTACTTTATTACTCAAGATCGGGTCTCCTTTTCAACGTGATTTTCTTTTGTTTTGATAATGTTGTTTTTCACTGAGTAGAGATTCTTTTCGTTTGGTGAGCCCACGGATTTCTTTGAGGCTCTTTCCACTTCAAAATTTGTACGAAGTTGGAATAAATTTTTCAAAGCGTTAAATGTTAAAGAAATACTTTTCTTTCCGTGATGGAATGTTGTCCTTTCGTGCCAGTCAGTTATCATGTCTAAGTCTCTCAACGCACGCCATACAATGTTATCAACGGGGTTGGCATTGGGAATGTTGGGTGGCTACATGGTAGGTTCAATCAATTCTGGCCCTTTGTTCTGCAGGGCATTCACATTTGTCCAATATGTGTGCTATGGCGTATCAATCGGAAGATAGAGTTTGTGTCTGATGGCTTGCGACAATAATCCAGTTCTAGTTTATTACTTTGTTTGGGGTATGTTGCAAGAAAATTTCAGCCGAAACAATATCCGAAGAATTGAAGATGAGGATTGCCGATGGATTGTCAGCCTTACCATCTCCCCTCCCCCCTTCCCCCCGTTCGTTGCAACGTGTAGTGACAGATGGCGCATTCTATTGCAGGCTATCATTGAATGTGAACATGTGAAGATTCTGTGTTTGAGTCAATTTCTGGAGACAGATTAAATTTCGTTCAGGACAATGTTTTCTTTCAATCTCGGTCTTTGGTTTTTTCTCATACTTTCGCCTCAAGGGGTTTCCATTTTTGTACCCTCTCATAAAAATAATATCTCACTCAAATCCTTGCCTCAAAAAGAGTCATTTTTCTGTTCCCTCACAAAGTAATTTCAGCAGGAAGAAGTTAAGGGTGAATTTTTGAACAGAGCACTATGCGATAAGGCAGCTTTATTAATCGGATTTATAATGCATTTTCTCTGAAATAAAGCTGTATTATCGGATAGTTCTCTGTTCAAAAATCCACCCTAAAGCTCGTGGGGAAGATATCGATTAATCTTCCCAGAAGCCTGATTCTTCATAGGCCTATCGGTTATTGCAATAATCTCATGGCATTGGCGTCAGGCTTTGTTCTATGGCTGACCGAAAACAGACATGCAAACTGAAATCTTCCAGCGCTTGTACTTTACCTGGCGTAAAAAAGGATGAAAGTATTTTTGGAAAACCTGTATTTTCAGCTTCACGCTTATAACAAATCTACGCCTCTTTCGTTCCATCACTCTTCTGAGTGCTCTCGAGTTCCAATTTACTTTGAAGGATCTCTTAAACAGGTTCACTCTTCACAGATTTTAAAACTAGTTCATCCCCGCTGTGAGGCGTATATCAAGAATCAAATCTAAAAAAAAGATTCATTCTTATGCACCTGCAAGGGCAACTAACAGAAACTCTGACTGGCACCATAATGATTGTGCCATGATTTTTCTTCCCTTAGGGTACCTGAATCGAGGAAGTGAGAAAGGTGGCTACTACTTTTCGTTCGTGTCGGTGTTGCTGAGTGCTTTGTCGCTAATAGGTTTGAGCTTCATAAGATCTGAAGGATTAGAAAGAAGGGAATCTAGCACATTCCGAGCAGAAGCGCGGGCGAGGCAAGGCGAAGACGACGAGGACGACGAAGTCCCAAAGAATCAACTTGCCTGCATTTCTGAAGAAGTACCTCACATGATGAATTTGGATTACGCTGTCAGCTGCAACAAAGTCACCGATTTCCTCTTGTACAATGACTTCGACGAACGCTATTCGTCTTCGATAGGCCCTGGCCCACAAAGTACACACAGTCATCTCGGTATCATAACGAGCAACAGTGTGAAAAAGTCTCGACGGCGGTTCCCTAATGGTTTCAGCTACAGTGAACCAGATGCCATAAATAGATTGGGTGGTGGGAGAAAGTCTCCAGAATTGACATGGGAGAAGCAAGTCCCGGACAAAGGAGCCGTGGTTGTCGAGGAAATCACGACCACAGTTTGATGTGATTGATTGATGGCTGTTATTTCCACTTCTCCACTGAACACTCTTCCCATTATTGTGCCTTCCATTCCAATCAGGAACGTCATTCCAGCTTCATCCCCAAAACAAGGTTTGAAGCTCCCGCTGTATTCATAATTGATAAGCGGAGGATGATAATGCGAGAGAGATTTATTATCTCTTATTCCTTCCTTCCCTCACGTATACCCTTGTTATTTCATCTGTTCTCTCGTTTCAGTCCGAATCTGGAGCTAAGTAGGTAGAGCAGTAACTGATGCACGCGAAAAATTATCCCTTATTAAAATAACATACCCTATACTCGTATAGGTATGTTAGCATAAAATTACACTTAAAACAGTCAGGTAATAGCTCCCGTGATATCCATCTCAACAACCGAAGAGAGTCGTAGGTATTCAAGGAGTACAAGAAACTTCCGCTCTTTGGGAAGAAGTTGCAGTATTTCTTATCATAACCTCCACTGATTGGCAATGATCAGAGGAACCTGTTCTTGTCTATAGGAATACCTCAACAGTTTCTAGTTGACCTTTACATGTTCAATAATTTTAAAACGAGAGAAACGCTGTTGATATTCACAAGATATATGGGCAATCAATAAATTACAGTAAAAAACATCATTCACTTGATACTTATAGTTTGAGACTTTGCAGATCGAAATTCTGAGGGTATATTGTTTTGAGTTGCCATAAGAGCTTCTCGAAGTGTTTTTACTCTCCAAACAGAATGAATATCATAAAATGGAAATTCAATACTTTATACTGCAGAATAAAGTAGGCCTACCGATATCTAATACTTTAATTGAAAGAGCTCGAAAGCTGTGGTGGCTTCTAACGCGCGAGGCCTACGATGCTATGCAATTCTAGGCCACAGGCTAGACAATACAAATTTTGGTATACTTTTAATCTACTTTTAAAAGACTAACCCTGTAGATGGCAATTACTACAGGGTGTGTTTTAATGTTCTTAATTTATAATGTTTGCTTTGAACCGAATTGCTTAATCTTAACGTAAACATTTCAAATTTCCGCCCATTAGATGGCCAGCGTAGCGGCCGCAGGCCGCTAGTAACCGTTTAATGCTGGTATACAGCAGGGTGCACGAAAATACAGTGCATGGAGGCTCAACCCGTCCGCCATGCTTTTGGATAGTTTTCCTTAACCAACATGCGAGACCTTCTATTACGTGCTAACTCCCGGATCCGGCACTGACACCCCTGCATTAGATCATTCATGATTTGTATAAAAAGGAAAAACTGAAGCTCCATTAACTGTGCAACGTGCCTAGCACCTAAAGATAATTCTATGGTGTTGGGTTTAGATTTTATTTACAAATAAATGTCGTAATTGGGACAATATCTCCCATGATGTGATCATATGAAACGTAGAGCTAAAAGATATTCTCAAACTGCAGAAAACTGGACGGCGAAAATATTTTATATGAAACAGAATAGAATGAGAATTCGCTATTGAGAAAATTTCCGGGAAGGTGAATTCTTACTTGGACCTGACTTTCTCCTTTTGTGTGGTTTCCGGTTATTGTTGCATTCAAGATATTTGACAAACTTGTGTTTTGATTATGTAACTATCTTCGGATGTATTTACTGAGAACTACTCTGTTTTTGCAGCTTAGGTGCGGGGAGAGAAGTACAAGAAGAGGCAAATACGGAAGTGTCCTGCTCAGCTCTCAGGTGACTCCGATACTCTTCTGACGCCTGGTGCTAGTTCTCGTGGCCAAAGATATTCCTTATGAAATCAAAACTTCATGCTTCCCTCTGTATGTTTAGAATTATCACTAGCGATCTGAAAAAAGTCAATAAAGCTGGACGGGCAACAATCTCTTCGGTGATTATCATTGAATTTTTTAAATATGGGGAATGCCCAATGCCCCAAAAAATGAAGACCGAACGACGAAAAATGTCTCAGGGTTGTTTTTACAGCGTCACCTGGTTCTCAAGAATGAAGGAGCGGAGCACCGAATCTTTTTCTTTCTATGTCATCTGTAGTATTCCCCCTGCACTGGACTGCGGCGTCTTGCTTTATTCCGTCACCTCACTAGAGGCACTAGGGGATTGTCACTCAAGAGTTGTTGGAAGGGGATTCTGGATCCCATTTCTGATATTTTTCCCCTTTCCGATACGGAGGAATACAGTTGAGTCCACAAGTAGAAGTGAAAACCCCCTTCTCAGGAGCAAGACACTCTTGTTTTCGAGGTAAGTGCGGGTGTATGGGCTTGTCAACGTCAACGTTTTCACCCAACTTTGCTTTTCTACACACCCCCTTACAGATAAAACCAGCTAGCGCCCGGCACCCAATGACAGCTCGGGAGCAATGCACGTCACCCACAAGCAGCATGCAATACACGCGCGAAAACTCTCCATTCGTATGACTTCCCTCTTATCGTCATCTCCATTCTTTTACTATTTTCCTTCTTTCCTTGAGTTTGGCATCGTGTGTCGTGTATACCGCATCAAGGAAATTATATATTTGCAGCTGAATCCCCTTGTGAAAGTATGAATATGCCTGCGATCGGCCTAACGTTACACGTCCTCGATGAGATATCTCGAGGGCCATGGATTCACCCTTAGAGGAATGATGATGTGGTCGTACGACAGGAGATGAGCCCACTTTCGGCGAAATTGAGCTGACATCATCACCGTACAGAGTGTGAGTCGCGATCCGTATTTAGATCAAACGGGATAAGTCAAACTTCTGTTCCTTCAGGATAAAACTGCATGGGTGGAGCACATAGACGTCGCACAGTCAGGGAGGTGAAGTGGGAGAAGGGGGAGAGGGGGGTTGGAGAGAGAGAAAGTCATTGAAAATTAGTTTTCACATTACTTCATGCTACGATAGACCGACTGGGACGTACACTGACGCACGGAGCGAGTGCAAAATGGACATGACCATAGAAATAATGGCATAAGAGCTCTGATAGCTTCCACGGCAGGGCAGACGTTCGCTTGGCAGTGCGCTTCACTGCTCACGATCATGTGATCATGATCCGGCCTGTCATTGGCTGCACGATTCCGATGGTTTTATCTGTAAGGGGGTATGTAGAAAAGCTTCCGGCTTTCCCCAAATCCAATTGCGAAGTCACTGTACTTCAAAGATTGCAGTTACAAAGCTTCGGAAAAAGTATGAATTAAGCTATCGATTATCAATGATGGTCATTTGATCAGTTATAGACTGGACACACTTCTAAAGATAAAGATAAAGGAGACAGAGAAATAAAAATTAAAAAAATAAAAATATGTATTCTCAATCACAGGAGACAATGAGGATTGAGAAACCCAACTTAATCTGAGGACTCACCTGAGCCAAATCATATTGCTTTCATTGACTTTGAATTTCTCTTTTCATTATCATCAAAGCTTAATTCCTGAATTCGAGTGTTTTTTTTTCATGCTTTTTAAGTTTCAATCTGTGTTCCAACGTTTGATATTTCCGACCCTCAATTTGGTGATGAAGGAAAGGTATAAAAGTAAGTCATTTCACATTCGAAATCATTCTACCTTTCTTCCGACAGCTACTATCAAGTTATGACTAACGTCATGCACACATTCCAGTCCATGGAAAAGTACCTTGGAATACACAGAATCAAGTCCAATGCACCAGACCAATACACCAGTGGTTCTCAACCTTTTCGATCCTGCGGCCCACCTTAACAACTGTGACGTGTTCAGCGGCCCACAACAGACTTAAAAGCCATATAATTATTGTTCGTCTAGCTTTATTCCTATTCTTAGATTTACGGATACTTGTCACGGCCCACCCTCAGCGCCTCCGCAGTCCACTGAGGACCCACCGATTGAGAACCACTGTAATACACGATACGATAGGGTGCCGGAAGCATGAAACTCAAGAACCAAGAATGCACCTTAGCTCTAGAAATGCCAGTTCACCCTCGCAAGTCAGGCCCTACTTCCCTCTTAAGTTCAACTTAGATTCAAGTAACCTCTTACCCTGGGAGCCCGAGCGGTTACTCCAGGAAGCTTGACTCGGATGTAGCTATCACCACCAGGGTTCTTGAACGTCCCGCATTTAGTGACGGGAGTGGTTCATGTTTGGAGGACTCCCTTCCCAAATACCTTCCTAAGCATTCCGAGGTCATGTTTTATGCCTCGTTCTGAAGAGATCTGATTTATTTCATTATTTATTTATTTTTACATCAAATGAAATCACTTACCTGTAAAGAATGTCAATGGCATTTGATCCTGAACTGCATCAAAAAAGCACTATGATAATTTTTTTCGAAGAACAAACCCCTTAAGACGAACACATAATTTCTCTTTCTGTCTCTTTGGTGGCTATAAAGCCAGACTTGCATGGAAGCCAATGCAACTTTTCTCGGTCATATCGTCAGCAATTATTTAAAGAATCTTTTTCTCACATTTTTCCTATGCAAATGAAAGAGGTTATAACGTGATTTCTCAATGAAGAATATTTCAAGTATTTCTTCTAATGGCGGCAACATACTATAAATGAAGATTTTGTGGCTTTTATAGTTCTCCTTTGGAACAACTGTTTTTCTATTTCAATAATTATGTCCAACGCCAGTTACTTAGAGATTCCTAGACATGGCAGTCATTCAAGATCACCGACACCAGACCTACAACCATGGGAGGCGATTAGTTGAGAAATATGGGAAGGCTCAGAGACAGTACTCCCTTGCAAGTATTCCTTGTTTTCATGTCCTCGCTGTTCTGCCAATTTTGGAACAGCTCGAGCTCCCTCTGCCCCTATGAATCGCCGTCTGTGCCTACAACTTTCCTTCCCATGGAATTCTCCGTTCGTGACCCGTGTTCGTCACTGTGTAGGCCTTAAAGTTCTCCTGAATAATGATATTTAAAAATTAGACAGCTTGCAAGGTGAAAGGCTGATCAGTCTCTGAGTCCTTGACTCAGCCATCCTACAAAAAAAAACCCAAACTTATTGGGCTGAGGTTGCTTACCCAGTTTAAAATCTCGGCTGGAAACAGCTACATTTTCCAACTGGGTTCCAGCTGGAAATGAGATTGAATTTACCAGCTGGAAATTAGTCTGGAAACATAAAAAAAAGTGATCCGATCCAGCTGGTAACCAGCTGGATAGTAGATGGGTTCTGACCAGCTGGAATTCAGCTTGGAAGCAGACATCATTTCCAGCTGGTAACTAGCTGGATTGTAGATGGGTTTTGACCAGCTGGAATTCAGCTTGGAAGCAGACATCAATTCCAGCTGGTAACCAGCTGGAAGGC